TGACAGTAAGTAAATAAATCATGGTCCCCAGCAGTGGGCCAGGCTGCAGTGTCACCATAGACCCAGGTAGCAGTGAAGGCCGCTTCTATCGGCATGGCCTCAGCAGCAGAATGGCCCTTGGATGCTAACATGGCTCCAGGTGGCTGCTCAGACCCCTGGCATCAACATGGCCTTCGATGGTATCAGAAGCCATGGACATCAACTCTGACCCTGGCAACGATAGGGCCATGGACTCAGACACGGTCCTCTGCAGCAGCTCTGGCCCATGGTCCCAGGTGGCGACCCCGCCCACGGGCTGGTATGGTGTTATTTGTATGTTGGGACTCCTTACTGTTTTTCTGCGTTTCCTTACAGAACATGAGCCCTATTAGGACAGGAACACGGTCTTTTTAGTCCCTAGGTCCTGGTGTTTGGTCAGTGCTTGGTACCAATAAGTACCGAATGCACATTTACTAGTCAGATGGATGCAGCATCATCGCAGTATAGAAACCTCTTGCTCTCCGACCTGGCAAGAGGCAGAGTGCAGTGTAATGGAGGCCAGCAGGAACTAGCCTCACTGCAGTGGTAGTCTCCTCTGATGATTTCCCCAAATCCTGGTTCTGAAGTACTTGTCCTGTGGGTGTTTTAAGACCTGAATGAGGTGCTTGTAAAATACCTAACACTGTTCTGGGGAGAACTAGGAGACAGCAAAAGGGGACAGCCACTGCTCCGGTTTGGATCTGGAATGGCCCCAAAAGGCTTGGTCCCCAGCTGGTACTATCAGGAGGGTTACAAACGTAGGGTCTTGTGAAAGGTCTTGAGGTTACTGGATGCATATCCTTGAAAGGTTTTGCCTTTCCCACCCAGCCATGAGGCGACTGGTTTTACTTTCCATATGTTCCCTGACACAGTGCCTGGTCACATACATGTCAAAAAGTGACAGCCAACTAATCACAGACTGGAACTTTCAAAACTGGGAGACGCGAACAAACAAACAAACAAAAAACCTCTTTATGGGCCGATTAGCTCAGGTGTAATAACAAAAAGCTGCCAACTGATAGCACATGGTCAGCCTGAGACACACAGCAAATTCCAGACCAGCCTGGGTTACAAAGCAATACCCTTCAAACACGCAAACAAGAAGGCAAAGATGGAAACCATAAAAGAAATACACATTAATATGTGTGCAAGCACTCTTACCTACTGAGCCATCCCTCCCACTCTTAGACATGGATTTTTGAGAGGATAAATTTTTTGATCCCTTAGTATTTCCAAGATCTCTCCATGAAAGCATACACTCAGTTTTCTTTCCCTCCCTCCCTTTCTTCCTTCCTTCTTTTCTTCCTTCCTTCCTTCCCCTCCCTCTCTCCCTTTCTTTCTTTCTTCCTTCATTTTCTTTTTTTTATGACACTAGGTCCTGCTCTGCAATTGGAATTGACTTGGAACTTGAGGTCTTCATGCCTCAGTCTCCGAAGAGCTGGGATGCCAGGTGTGGACCATTACACTCAGCTGCTTTCTGTTTTGTCACCTGAAAGTTATTAGCTGAGTGTGATGGCACACACTTGTAATCTCACCACCCAGGAGTCTGAGGTAGGAGGAGTGTAAGCTTTGAGCCCTGGACTACACAGTAAGTTCCTGTCAATTTGACTAGGACAGAACAGAACAGAATAGAATGGGAAAGAGTTTGCTGAAAAGTCAGGAATTCTTGCTAGGAATTGCAGGAAACTCAGGAATTTCTCAGTTACACTAATGCATATTATTGGGTGAGTATTCTAGCATATAGTAGCTGGAAATGTAAACATTTTTTCCATTTTCTAGAAATAAATCCATTTTCTGCCATATTTAAAATGTGCTTCAACTGGTTTTAAGTTAGGAGGTCTCAAAGGCAGCCTGAAGCCACAGTGCTGTGGTTGAAGGAGCCTGTCTGTTTCTCTGTATGGCTGTCCCCTCCCTCCTCCTCCAGGTCCTCAGCTCTAGTGTGACTATAGCTAAGCCAGGTTGGTCTTGCTGCTGTTGCTCAGTCTGGTCACCAGTGTATTCCTAGTCTCCCTTGTGTCCTTTGGAAATGGATTGCTGGGCTGGAAAAGTAGTCCTTGCTCCCTTAGCTCTTAGATTTGGAGACTCCGTGAGCCCTATGGTGTTCTCATTATTCTTGATCTTCAGCAGAGTTGTCCAGACCATTGTTCTTAAACTGTATATAAAGAACACACCTTTTAGTTCTGAGCCAATATAAAAAGAACTATGTCGACCACTTTGTAATGAGCACATTTCCATTTTCCAGCTTGGCTAAACTTTAATTGGAAACTCATTGGTTAGCCACTTAATTATGTAGTCAGAACATGCACAGGCTAAGAAATACTTGGGTTATAAATGTCAAATTCCTGAGTCTCCTTTAGTCACACATTGTGCACAAGGGAGGAAAATCACCCAATTAGGATTTCGTATTTCCACTACACTGTAAATTAATTCAGTCTGACAGTTATCTTTGTGAGAAAAAGAAAATATTAGCAAGACTGTTGGGTTTACATTCTGGGTTATCTGGTACTTCTAATTAGGCAAACACTATTGGGATTGGGGCTCCTAGCCCAGGAAACATGATGACTTGGATAACTGAAGAACTCAATGAACAGTCATTACAAAGTGTAGGAGAGGCTGGAAACCAAGGGCACTTCAAGATGATTAAGCTTCAACCACATGGCCTCTTCCAAGTATCTGTGTCTAAATCTGCAACCCAAAAGTTTGCATTTCTTTTCTTTTCCTTTCTTTTCTCTTCCTCCCTCCCTCCTTTCCTACTTTTTCCTTCTTGCCTTCACTCCTCTTTGCCATTTTCTTTTTTGTTGGTTTTGATATTTCAAGACTGGGTCCCAATATCCAGAACTCACAATTCTCCAACCTCTGCTTTGAGAGTATATTACAGTACACTATCTTATCTACTGCATTTTTTTCTTAAGCTATATATACTTCAGCCTCACAAAACTTTGTTGAACCCCTAGCAAGCACTACTGAGAGCTCAGTTGGCACTATTGGGTCCCTTTCTCATTGTGGACCTGGAAGGAAATAGAAGGGAACCATGTTCAAAGCCAGCATATTCAACTAGGGGCCTAACTAGGAGAGAGTGAGAGGGAAAGATAACACCTTCACCCCATTCCAGTCTCTCCCATCAGTACCTCCCACTGGTTAAACCTAATCAAAACTAAAGGTCAAAGGCTTCAGTTCCTATATTCCTTTATGGTTTAGGTAAGGCACATACACAAGGGCAAAGTGGGTTGAGCCAGCAGACATACCCAGAACACACTTTGTACTGCTAACAATCCTGCCACACAGCCAGGCTTAGGGACAAGCATGGCACACAGGTGGGATGCATGCTGTGTAGCCGGCACAGTGGGACTATATTACATCCTACCATATAACCAGTCTCATCTCCAGCAATGCATTGTGATGCCAAGTAGGAAAATGTATGGTATGGAGCCGATGTTTAGAAGAACTGAGTTGTGTTTAGGAATATTTGTCTCTTTGGACCATGGTTCACCTTTTTGGGATAAAGAGAAACATATGGCATAAGGTAGATGGTCAATCATTATTAGTGAAACCAATGAGAAAATTTTTCAAAATTCGAAGACTCTTCTTTTTATTGATCAAGTGTCTTAACCAGCTGTGGATGCACATGCCAGTAATCTAGTACTTCATAGGCTGAGATAAGAAGATTGACAAAAGTTCAAGGTCAGCCTGACTATATAGTGAGTTCCAAGCTAGTCTGGCTGAAGTGTGAGATCCTGTCTCAAAAACAAAAGTTTCAATGGCTTTAAACCATGTCAGTGGCTTTAAGTAGATTTCACACTGGTCCTGTAATAAATAAATAAATAAATAAATAAATAAATAAATAAATATGATTTAAGTCAGATGAGGTAGGAAACACCTATAATCTCAACACTTGGGATGTGGAGGCAGGAGGATCAGAACTTTAAGGCTAGCCTGGGCTCTGAGACCCTGTATCAGAAAGTGAAAGCCAGCCAACAAAATTAACAAATGATCTAAAGACAATCCTTTCCTGAAACTGGAAAGCTGCTTATTTACCTTTATTCATTTTTTAGTCAGTGTTTGAAATAGTGGGCTTTGTTGCAACATTTTCATACATGAGAGTTTTATCATCGTACTGCTCATAATCTCCATTGCCCTCTCACTTACCCTGTTGGACCCCAAAACTATCATGTCATACATCTGGAGTCCACATTTGAGAGAATACATGTAATATTTACAAATCTATGTCTGGCTTAGTGCACGTACCATGATTTACTGTTCCATTTATTTCCTTGCAAATGACATGATGTCATTCCTCTTTGCTATGGAATAAAACCCCATTATGTGAGTATCTGTGTGGTATATGCTGAATGAGATGCCTTTGGGTGTATGCCCACATGCCCAGGAGTGGTATGTTATGATTGTAGCAGTTCATAGCAGTTCTCTTTCTAGTTACTTGCAAATGTCTTTTGGGGGAGTTCTGGGGATCAAATCCAGTGCACTAAGCATGCCACACAAGAGCTCTATCATTGAGTTGCACCCATAGCTGGAACTCTGTCTTTTAAAAGAAACTCATCAGAAGAATGAACCTTTAACTCTTCCTAAATGAAAGCCTTTATAAACAGTAGCACCTCTGTTTTGGACATCACTGAGTATGGAAATTAAAGAAAAGAGATACAGCTGGACGGTGGTGGTGCACACATTTGATCCTAGCACTTGGGAGGCAGAGGCAGGAGGATCTCTATGAGTTCAAGGCCAGCCTGGTCTACAGGCTGAGTTCCAGGACAGCCAGGACTACACAGAGGAAACCCTGTCTCAAAAAACAAAAACAAACAAACAAAAGGAGAGAGAGAAAAGAGATATGAACTGAAAATTCTTCTTTTTTTTAGCAGAATAGTAAAACTAATTTTTCACAAAAGGATGTGGTTCTTGTTTGGCTCTCATGACATTATTAGAAAAAACATGGAGGGGTAAGTGAAGGAGTACATGTCACGTGGTAGTAAATGGTAGAAGAGAAGTTCATGTCACGTGACAATGAAGGAGTAGAAGAGATTCAGAAAATACAAGAGGAAAAAGTGGCAGAGATGGAAGCGATTTTGGAAGCAGTAACTAATATTAAAAGAGCCTCGCAATCAATCCAGCAAACATTCCACTCAGGGAGCCTTCGAGGAGAGATGATACAGAGAAAGGCTCAAAGGCCTAACATGTTACCAGTTGCACCATTTGAATTGGACTACAGATCAAAAGCAGTTGCATGGAACAACTCCATATGCTTCTCCATCAGAGGCCTGCCTCCCACTGACCAGTCCTTAAAAGCCTTGGGAAAAGTGGCTGTCATAGCGTAAATGTAATAACAGAGTATTTTTGTTCCACCTCTGAACCACTAAAAAGTCACTAACTGTAGTTACAGATACTCCAGAGCTAAGCCCTTGAGCCTAACAAGTTGGAGATCAACTTTGACAATTCAGTGAAACCCCACCTCAAAAAAAAAAAAAAAAAAAGAAGAAGAAAGAAAGAAAGAAAACAACAAAAAACCCAACCAAACAAACAAAAACCCATTAAAACAAACAAAGACCCTCATCTTTAGCCAGAAATGGCTAAATTATTAAGGATGTATTCTGAGAACAGGACCTGGATTCTATATATTAGAAAAAATTAAACTTAAAATGAAAAATATCAGTACTTAATAAGTCTAGTTAGTGAATAATTTCATTGATTTGTATTATCTGTGGATATTTAGATTGGACCATATGCATTAGCACAGGCAAAGCAAGAAGGAAGACAACATGATAGGTGAGTGACAGTTTTTAATCCAAAGCCAGGTCTGTAGTATAAAGATACAGATATGGATCCTCCCTGGATGGAATTTCCTGTCTCTGACACTGTACTGAGATGTGATCAGCTCTACACTTAGTGTGGGGAAATGCAATTTTAATTGTAATGCTGAGGTGTATCAAGTACTAGGCTAGCCATGGCTACATAGTGATACCCAGTGTCAAAATCAAACCCAAGCAACAATCAAAACAGTAAACATCTTTCTTGTTTTTGCTTTTGGGTGTGTGTGTGTGTGTGTGTGTGTGTGTGTGTGTGTGTGTGTGTGTGTGTGTGTGTCTTCTTTCTTGTTTTTGCTTTTGGGTGTGTGTGTGTGTGTGTGTGTGTGTGTGTGTGTGTGTGTGTGTGTGTGTGTGTGTGTGTGTGTGTTTCCCCCAACAAAGCATGCTGAGGTTTTCTAACCAGCTGTAGACAATTTCTTTTCTCTCTCCATCTCCTGTTCTCTATCTTTGTCCTTTAGTTAGCTGTTACATGGTTCTAAGATACTTACTTTTACAATAATCAACAGGGTCTTATTTACCCAAGGCTGGCCTCAAACTCCATATGTAGTCAAGGATGAGCTTGAACTCCTGATCTTTCTGCCTCTATTTTCTGAATGCTGGGATAACTGACATGCACCACTATGCCCACTGTATATGGCAGTGCTGGGGATGGGACCCAATGTTTCATGCATGCTGGGCAAGCTGAATAACTTCCTCAGCACTAGGTATTTCTTCTTACTCTACTGTAGGAATTTTCTAACCTTTTTTTTTTGCTTTTAATTGTTGAAGACTAGAGTAGCTTAACCCTATATTTTGGAGGGCACTGTAGCTCAGAGATTCAGTCCTATACAGGACCCTGGATTCAATTCCAGTGGAGCAAAATACATAAATAAAACATTTGTTAACTTATATATATTTCTTAAACTACACAGTAAAGCTTTAGATAGATTAGATAGATAAATGATAGATGATAGGTAGGTAGATGATAGATAGATGGATGATTGGTAGATGATAGATAGATGATAGGTAGATAGATGATAGATGATATATTGATATATAATCTATTCAGAAAAGTAGCCCCTCACCAGAACAAATGCTAAGCCCCAAAGCATAGGCTCTGAGAACATGGAACCCCAGGAATATTCAGCCCCAGGGCACCCCTGGATCACCCCTAGGTCCACAGGAGAGGAGAGTCCAGGGTGGGCATACTCCAGGGGAGTATAAAGCATCCTGATAGGTCCCAGGACCTTCTTTGCAAACATTCTTCCTTGCAGGGCTAAGGGACAAGGTGCAGGGTCTGTGCCCACCTACCTTAGGTTTAAGATTCTAAACCCTAAAGTTGTCTGCGTTTGGTTCTTCATCTGTCAGTCTCTCCCCATGAGCACTGGACAGAAACAGTCTCTGTCTGTAAAGAAATGTGTAACTTGATTAAGAAAGGAGGTATTTGGGGGCTAGAGAGATGACTCAGTGGTTAAGAGCACTGGCTGTTCTTCCAGAGGTTCTGAGTTCAAGTCCTAGCAACCACATAGTGGCTCACAACCACCTGTAATGAGATCTGGTGTCTTCTTCTGGCTTGCATGGATACATGCAGGCAGAAAGCTATATGCATAATAACAAATAAATCTTTTTTAAAAAAAAGAAGAAAGGAGTTGTTCTCAAAGATTGAGGACTTCCCTTGAACCAAATGAATGGGGCCTGTGAGCCCTATTCAGTGCATCCCTCTCAGATGGCTCCTAGAGTCAGTCCCTCAGGGGCTGGCCTCTTGAGGAAATCTTCATTATCTAAAGGTAAGAGAGGAGCCCCTGAAATGACTTGAGGGCTCCCACCCTCCCAATCCAGTAAAAACTGTACTGTGCACCTGACCCAAACCATGTGTTGTTTATTTCCCAGGGGAAAGCTTTACTTTAAAACAACTTTATTGAGATATAACTTACATATAACAAGTTAGGACAAACTCATCTTTTGAGACTCATGCGCTAGGCCAGCAGGTTACTTCCTCATCTCTAGTTAGCATAATGCTTTTGAGAGTCATCCGCATACTCGATTGTCAAAAGCTTGTCCTTTTATCGTTGAGTGCTAATCTGCTGCAGAGATGTATCACCATGGTTTAGCCATTCACCACATGATGAACAGTTTAGGCTCTTCTGAACGAGTTGTTATAAAAGTATAAGCAAACCAAAACTATGAAGTTCTCGAAAATTCAACAGAACTGTCCAAAAAGTAAAAACTGGGGTGTTCCTCTGGGGTGTCAAAGAACAAAGAGTTGATAATCAAGTTGAAGAGCAAGCCACTGACTTTATAAAAAGCAACTACAATTAAGATCGAGGTTTGGGGGTGGGGACACACACTAAATAAAGAGGGCTGATGACCCGGCATCTTCTCAGCATGGGAAAGATGGATTGCAACAGCACTGGTAGCACAGAATGATATATACACCAGTTGTTTAATTTTGACAGGGACTGGAATTGAGCCAATAGACTCAAGCCTGTTTTCCTGTCTATTTCTTCAGGGTATGCTTGATGGCCTGCCCAGGCATAGAAACAAAGGGCTCTATTTTCAGACTCAGAAGGACTTTCTGGCTATGCGGCTTTGGACGGAGCTGTTGGAGAGATGAGTGTGTAAATCACTTTGTGTCTAGTACCTAAGCAGGACTCAGTGGGCAGGTATTATACTTGGAAATCGTGTTTAAGAAAAATAAAATGTTTCTTAAGGAAGCCAGAATGTTTTATGTAGTTTTTAATCCAGATCCATTTCTTTCTCCATTATTTTTATAAGCACCGAAGAACTGGATTAAGCTAAATCTGGGTAGATTTTTAGAAGCATATCCAGTCAGTCCCAGGAGCTCTGGGTGTCTTCCTTTTTCTGTGCCTCTGTTCAGCTCTCTGGTGAACCTGTCTGATCTCAGCGCCTACCCTGGAGCCCTGACTGTGGATCTGGGTCCTCGTAGCCTGGGATTTTTATCTGGGGCCACTCGGGTTCATCGGTTTCCTCTGCACCTGCGGGTCCTCTGTAATAGACTAGAAGGGGCACTAGTTGGAACTGGAGGGTATGGGTTTAGAATTATGGCTTTGTTGCCCCTGGCCCCCAGCACATTTTGTGTTGGTCCCAGCCTTTGGACATCTTTCCCCCATCTACTGTAGTAGATAACACATTGCCTCAGTAGACTGCAACCGGGTTACACGACATAACGCTGCCAGACTGTCTCAACAGACGCGTGTTGACTCTTGATTGCATGCATTTATTGTCCAGGCTTTTTACACTTCCCTCAATCCCCGAACTCCCTTGGCTGCTTTTGTAGCTCAGATGAAAGATCTCCCTCAGTGGAGAATCAGTATCATCCTGAACTAATGCTCACCCTTAGGAAAAAAAGGTGGGGCTGTGTTCCGCCTCCTCAGGGCTTAGGCTCTCACCTGGGTTTTTAGTTTAAGGGTTGGCTCTTAAGGGACTATCCTTAGGTAGGAAACTGGGGTGAGTTGGGCCGATCCTGTACACAAGCTGCCTGGGAGTCAAGAGCGGCTCTCAGCTCCCTCCCCTTTACAGCCACACAGCCCCCTTTGTCGGACGTCCTTGCTGCTTTCATTTGCAACCCCAGGTGCGGGTTGTAGCCCTCCTCCACTAGCCCCCACCCCCACCCCCGCAGTGCCAGCTTGGCTAGCTTTCCACTATCCTCCCTCCGTGGGAGGTGCCCACTGCCTGCCCCTCCCCCTCAGCCCTGTACCTCGACTCCCAGGTGAAGCCTGGGGGTGAGCTGGGAGGAGGCGGGACCGCGCTCTGCAGCCCGCGCGGTTTGAACGCAAGCACGCGGGCCCCATTGGGTGAGCGTCGCCGCCGGGCGGAGCCAGGTGCTGCATTCCTGCACCTTTGCTTAAGGTTAAGCCAGGTGTTTCCTATTGTTTTCCAGAAGGCCACTAGTCGTTTTGCCTTGTGTCACTCCCAATCCACCCCTCCCCAAAAAGAAAGGGAGATGTTTCTGCAAAAATTCCTCCCTCAGATAATCTGGGGGCGAACGGCGGGCCCCGAGGTCATGCCTGGTTCCTTAAATTTGCATTTTTATTAAGGAAGGAGATAAAAAGCAGGAACCAGCTGGGAATTGTTTACTATGTACATCTGATACCTGAACTTTTCAGATTAAAAACATTTGTAACGGAGTACTATTTTAAGTAATATAGCTTCGAAAATGCGTTAAGAAAAAGAAATTTAGGGCAGGAGAGATGGCTCACCTGTTAAAGGCTAGGCTCACAACCAAAAATATAAGAAAAAGAAATTTAGCCATGCTTAATTTAGACATGTGGGCAGAAGCAAGCGAGTCTTTGTGAGTTCAAGGCCAACCTGGTCTATATGATGAGTTGTAGGACAGCCAGAACTACACAGTGATGTTTGTATGTATGTATGTATGTGTGTATGTATGTATACACACATACATATAGTTAGCTAGTTAGAACATAATAAAGACCAGACAGTCGTGTGCCGCCACACCTGACTATCTTTTCATTTTCAGTTATACCTGGTCCATTGCCAAGTTGGTTCCCAGCAGTTTTGTAACATACCAAAGGGGGACAAAACGGATTCTCATGTTTTCTCTCCCCGTCTCCTTTTATTTTCCAGTCCAGAGCACAACCACCAGAAGACACAAGAAGGAAGCCAGTGTTGGGGAAACTTGGCACTCTTTTTACGGCTGGAAGGAGAAGGAACAGCAGGAACGGATTAGAGAGTCCCACCAACTCAAACACCAAATCGGCCTCTACTAAACTCCCTGAAACAGAGAGTGAGAAAAATAAGGCTCAGGGCAGTCAACCAAAACCAACCAACGCGGGCTCGGGGCAAGAAGCAGAAGGCCAGCCTGCAGAGAGCTTTGTTCAGACTACCCCCTGCGACGCCGAACTGTCACCTTGCTCCAGCAGCAGTGTAGGGATTGTGCAGCAGTGCCACGACAGTGATTCAGTCCAATTAGAACCTCTGCAGGCAGAGGGAGAGACTTTCCCAAATGCCACCACCGCTGCCAAGGAGCTGCATTCCTCACCGAAGAATCGCTCGGGGCAGGAGAGCGCAGAGACGCTCGCCCGCAGTTCGGGGGAGGACGCGTTGCCAGGCGCTGCTGGCCTCCAACCAGAGACAGCGAGGGGTGTGTCGGGGTCCCCACCTGAGGAGCGCCTCGTGGGAGGACTTGGAGAGGCCCCCGACGGAGCCCCTGGCGTGGGTGCCGAAGCAGGCTCTCTGGGGACCTCTGGGGACGCGGTTGCTCCAGGTGAGTCTCCCTCCCTGGGCGCAGAGACCAGCCGCACAGCCCGCTCCATCGACCGCGCGCATCCCTCCAAAGTGCTAACTTTGGACATCTACTTGAGCAAGACTGAGGTGGCGCAGGTGGACGAGCTGGTCCCTGTAGCTCCGGGGACAGACGATTGCGACGATTCGGACGACATGGAGAGGAGGTCAAG